AAAAGACAGTAGATTTTGCTGTGCAATTTTTGAAATATAACGCAGACCTTGATTCTTTAAGGGCTTTCCTATGGGTTGTGTGTTAATTCAATAAATACTTTTTGGACACTATTATTTCCTAAATACTGGTTACAGGAAGACACAAACAAAATGAAATAAACATCTCGGCTCTCACGAGGCCAACATTCCAGTGAGTCATAGCATACGAAAGATAAATCAAAAGTGTGTGCCCTGTTGGATCAGTATCAATCTGTAGAGTGAAGAGGAATGCAGGGAAGTGTGAGCAGCTCGGAGAGCATGTGCAAATTTAGAGAGGGAGGGATATTCTCAGTGAAATATAATCTTAGAGCAAAGACTGAAGGATCTGTGGCAAGATACTAAGCAGATATCTGGGTGAACAACTTTGGGAGCAGGACGAGTGAGTGCAAAGGTCCACAGAGGAACAGCGCCAGGGATGTGCTGAGAACAAGGAGGTACGAGGTCCAAGTCAAAGCAGACAAACTAGGCTAGAGGTTAATGTGAGAACTGATAAAGTATGACCTAGGTAAGGAGTCCATGGGTAATACAAATATTGGTTTCCAAAAGGTTGGTGGTTCAAACCCACCCAGAAATGCCTTGGAACATGGCTTTGGCCATCTGCGTCTGAGAGGTCACAACCTTAAAAACACTGTACTTTTACTCTGCACACGTGGGTCACCATGCGTAGAAATAGGCTTGTCTGAGGCTCCCAGTAACAGAACGACTTGGTAGTCGAGGTTAGAAATTGGGGTGGAAGGAAACTCAAGTTCAATTCTGGAAATGAGGCCAGAGTTCCTTAGATATCCAAGTAGGTACACTGAAGAGGTCAGTGCTACATTTGACTGGAGCTCAGGGGAGCGGCGTGGGTGATGTGAGAGTTGTGGTCTTTCTCTATATCCAATTCCCACGGGGAACTGAATCGAATGGACAGAAGGAAAGTTTGCAAATGCAATTCATGGGAAACATAGCTACTGTATTCCCTTAGTCTCAGAGGGAGTCAGCCTCGAGGGCCAGTGTGTGCAATGGTACGGTTATAATATGTAAAGATCATAGCAAAGTCATAGAAGATAGGAGAGAGACTAGAATAAAAGAGTCAGACACACTCATGGTAGCATGCTCACCTCAGATCCTCTTGGTCCACGTGGAGGTGGGAGAAGAGAGAGGGAGGAGAGGAAAGCGTCTTTACTAACTTGGGATATTGATAGGGAGCCATAACACATGCATATTCAGTAGTTACAGGTAGTTCACAGGTGAGGAAACCTAGTACCTGCACTGGGGAAGGTATGAGGGGAGCTGGGTGACACAGCGGGAGGAGAGAGCAAAAGGAGGCCTGCTTCTGTAGGGAGATAGGATCAACCATGGGCTCCCTTTAAGGCAGCATAGCTGTTAGGGGAGAATCTGTGGGAATGATATTTAACGCAGGATAATGTACTTGGACTTTATCTGTAACTTACCAAAGTGGAGGCTTTCCTACCATGGAATACTAGCTTTCCAGATTCCCTCGGTTATAAATTAGGGAATATAGTCCTAGTTTTATTTCCCTCAGTGTTAAGTTTCCCACACCTTAGGTCATTACTGATTCTTTTAAGGCAGGTGGCTCACCAATGTGACCCCACATAATAACACTTGAATCTCATTCATTTGTTGGCTAAGGTTTTCAAAAGTTGTGAATGAAAAAAGGCTGGTCTGAAATTGGCCTCTGGTTGCACATGAGCACAGATGTGCAAACTCATCATCAGTATACTAGACAGGAAAGGGACTGCTAAATCCATTTCAGGGGGAAAAAAACAAAACACAATCCACCGATAGCCTCTTGGAAATTATTTATAAATCATACCCCACATTTACCTAAAGGAAACTTACGTTAAAGGTCCCACTCAGCACTGTTTGAACCTTAGTATACTGTGACTATATTGTGTTCTTTGATGACACTCACTCTCTGTAAAAAATGACTCAACTCAGACCTTTGTGATAAACACCAGTCTATTTTGTGGTGTGAATTAAGGACATTTGACTGGGTTGTATCTCAGCCTCAACCCAAGGCCGAAGAAGAAAGGTAAGGGGACGTGGCGAGGGCGAAACACAAAGGTCACCTCATGTAGGATCAAGCAAAATAGAAATAGAAACCAAAACGGACAGCATGGGAGGGTGAAGAAAATGAAAACATTTCCAAAGTTATTTATTGAGAAATAGTAAAGATGTACATATTTTTACAAGCTTTTAATATTAATTTACATTTCTTTAAATTATGTCGGCCCCGATAAACTATACCTTACTAATGACAGAAACCCTGGGCTTTCACTGTGAGAATTCCATAATGCTACAATAGGCAGGAGGCCAACGCAACTTCGGCTCATGGTACTTAACCTGGTCTTAAAAAGAAACCCTAAGTGCCAGATTCACAGAGAACGTACGTTTGTCACAATCAAATTAGCTTTTAAAAACAACATCTTCACACTGGAATATACTGTTGACTCCATTTTGAATCTTATATCAGAGAAAAAGGAAATAAAAATTCTTAGAGATAGTTATTACCTATATTTTGTGTGCAAAGAACTTGATTCTATTTTATTTTTTTCCCAGCCTCTGACGTTGATTTACAATTTTTTTTGCAGAGGTACAATGACTTCATCGCTTCTGGTATAATAGCATAACAATAACACCTATTTTGTTTCTGAAATGACCAGGGGTAGATATTTTTCAGGTGCAACACAAGGCGGGTGGGTTATCTTGTCTAGTCATAAACCATGTTGGTACAGTAGCCCCAACCCCATCTTAGATAGAGAACATATTTAGGACATTTTTCAAACTGGTTTACAATAAGGCACACTATTCTATATACACATAGAATACGGGGGTTGCCAAAAGTAGTGATTGTGTTGTTATTTCTTCTTGCTTTGCAGATCAGAAAGGAAGAGGGCTCCCTGCTCCTTAGAGGGGAAGCGAAGGTTCTAGTTTGCGCACACTCAGAATCACAAGAGCCAGCTGTGATGTCTGCTTGTGTGGTGCCAGGCACACTCTTCTCTGTCAGCCCAGCAATGAGGTCTTGTGCTGGCGGTCTTTCCTGAACCCACAGTCACGAGAAAGGTGATCAGTCAGCCGTCCTTCTCTGTTTTTCGAAGGGGGGTTCCTTTCGCCCCTGCAGGTTTAGCAGCATAAGAAGCTTTGCTTGGGCGGGAAATGAGCTGCTACTAAGAGCTCAAGTAGAAAGCAAATGTTTTGAGAAGGATGAGGGCAACAAATGTACAAATGTGCTTGACAAAGTGGATGGATGGATGGATGGATTGTGATAAGAGCTGTACGAGCCCCCAATAAAAAAACAAAAAGAAGAAAAGAAAGAACCGGAAATCCAGAAGTCAGGCTCAAGCCCATCTTTAAAGCAAATGGCTGGATGGTAAAGATACTTTTTGTTTTATTCCCCGCAATCAATATGCAAAATTTTAGGACACAAAAATTACGTGCTGATTATCACTGCAGCAATTTAATTTTAAAACTGTTGCGGGTCAAACTAAAGGGCAATAGAAGTACACTGATTCAAAAATCATGATTATTAAAAGCATTCCATTTTTTCATTTGTCTGCAACAGTCCTTAGGCCAAACGCTACAACAAAACTTTAAGTTGGAGGTTTACAATGAATCACAATTGCATCACAATTTGGGTTCTCGATCTCTTTCTTCCCAATTGTAAACATGGCCTTAGACTTCACTATGTAAAGAGAGGTTGTATCACCTAAAAAAAAAATCATAATTCCATATTGAGTGCTGCAATTTGTGTGCCAAGCAGGACCCCACTGAAGCCACAGAAGCTGCCAATGATGGGCTACCATCTGGTTAGAGACACTGTCCAATAGAGGGAGTCCAGGTCCTGCATTGTGACTTGTGCCACATGAAACTGCAGCTGTAGGCACCAAGAAAACACTCCCATGCCTTGAAGTCTTAAATTTCCATTAGGGGATTCATGTCAGAAAGAAACCCAACTGGGGAGCCTATATTGGTTCCTAACTTGGACTGCACAGCAAGAGGAAGAAAATGTGCAGACCCACAAGGACCAAGATCTCCGTGCAAGGACTGCAGTTGATTGTACAGTTTGCCTCCAGGCAGTAACTAACATCTGTAAGCTTGAAATGGAGAGAAACTGAACTGTTGTGTTAAAACGGATAACCAGTATTGGGGACTTTGGTAATGCGGCCAAGTTTCTGCTCACTTGTACAGCCCATGTATCTTAAGATGATATTCTCGTTAACACTTCCATAGACCTGTTGTCCTTCAAAAGCCATCCGGGACATCCGCCTGTAACTACTGATGAGAGGTCACTTGCACGTGTTTTTAGGAAACAATGCACTTAGCTTTACTTGAAGCCAGGCCCTTTCAATTCACATATCTGAGAAAGTCTGGGTGTTAGTTTACAGTTTTATGATTTGCATCAGAATATCGCCCTTTATGCAAATGATATATATGAAAAAAATCTCCATCTCAAAACAGTGCAAATACTCATGAATATGGCTCTTAGTTTTCTCCAGTAAAACCATACAAGGGCAACTCAAGACTTCAGCACACATTTCACTTTCTAACTAAAGGTCCCATAGCCTTGCCCAAACTTTCTGCACCAATTGTTGCCTCAGACAAATGATTGGAATTATTAGGAACCCAAATAAACACACAAGCCACCTTTTATTATAATTATTTTTCTTGCTGCAATGAGCACTTGATGTCTGCTGATGCAATATTCAGATTTGATGGCTTGAATTTTTAATTTGGTCATGTGAAGAATGATCTCAAAGGGCTTTGGTTTTCCATATCTCTGGGGATTTTCAACTCAATTTCCACTGTAACACACACACACACACACACACACACACACACACACACACACGCTGTCTTGTATTTAAGGCACAGCACATCAGGATGAACATTCTGTTTGCCAAACTTAAAAAAAAAAAAAGAAACAATATTATATTCCCCTTCTCCCTCCCTGGCCCCACCCCAACAAATTAAAAGGGAAAAACAATTGCATCCACTTCGAAGTCAGCTGCTAATAAAGTCACAGTAAATTATTTTCATCAATAATTTACACAAATTACAGGTCTCGAGATAGGACTGTCCTTATCCAGTCTGAGTGCATTCCAATTCAGATTTTCTGGGCTAGGTAGGCTAAAGTCAGATTCAAACCTCAGGGCTGGCGAGATCCCACGGCGAGGAATGTTGTTGAACACCGCCTTGTCAGACAGAGCCGGGGTGGGAGTGGGAGTGGGGGGTTCCCGGAGTCCCTGCTCTTTGCGAAGGCTGTTCCTTCCAGTCAGGACTCCTTGGTGTGAACTAGCAACCTCCACAGATTTTTGCTTCTGTTTTCAAAACCGCCAAAGTGTTGTTGTAAAGGTAAGCCCATAGAGCTTCCTTGCTGCAGCACTACAAAAAAACGTTCAACTCCATCGAGCAATCTGAATTCTTCCTTCTGGAATTTTCATTCCAAATCTTTCATCCTTTTAAGACAATTTATATGTGTAAAGCCAGAGGCATGAAATCACACATAAAAATTCAGTGTACTTGAAATAAAAATGAAAAAAAAAAAAAAGGATCCCGAGCTGAAGACAATTACAAATACTCTAATTCCAGTGCTTGATGCAGAGCCAAGAGGTCGGAGTGACTGGATATCCTCCAGAAGGGCATGTTGTGCTGTGTGGGGAAGAGGGGTGGGGGACGGGGGAGGAAGGATGGAAGGAGAGATCACAACTATTGTCTCGACCAGGCAGCACTACGCACAAGGAGGCGGCGTCCGCCCAAGCGGAGTGGAGGCATGAAGAGGTCTGAAGGCTTGGAAGCATCAATAGAGTGTTCTCAAAAATCACAAAGAAATAGATCTGAACTGGATTTGACTGATGAGCTAAACAAGCGGTGCCCTTGAAGTAGCTCATGTCTCTTGTGGAAAGCGGCACGCTGGCATCCACTTCAGAGAAAGCCAGCTGGGCCCCAAGTCCTACTTGGAGGATGGGCAGAAACTTTCCAGCACCACATCACGCCGAGAGACCCGCATTCCAGGTAAAAATCAAATAGAAAACATATACACGCACTAAGCCCCAGTCTCTTGCCTACTTGATGGGGGGTGGGGGAGGAGGATTATTTTCTATGTAAAAAAATAATTTGAAATTAGTCAATATGAGGTAGAAACAAGTGCAGGCTGGTTAGCTTTCTTATTTATGTAGGGTGATTAGCTAACTACTGAGGAAATATTACCCCCAAGAAGGCAACAATGGATTCTTCTGGAATTAAAAAAAAAAAAAAAAGCTTACAATGGCTTGTGGCCTTCCAAAGACATAGAAGTGCACCACTAGCTAGCAGTCGCCATAAGTTGATTCCAATACACTGCCATCCCCTGTGTATCAGAGTGTACATATTCCGAGGGGACAATATAGCCCCACTGCACAGAACCCTGTGTCAGGGGGGAACCATGCTCCCAAGGTGCCTTTGAGTGGACTCAAACCTATAACCTTTTGGTTAGCAGCCCAGAACATTAACTGTTTGCCCCACCTAGGGACTCCACCCATCAGTGCCTATGTAGCAGTAAATACGTCGTGGTGGGGAGTGATGAGAGAAAAAAATCGAGAGATGCCACTGTGAGATAATAATGAAAGAAAAGAACATTATTATGCCATAGCAATTGACAAAAAGCAAACCATTATTTGTCACTTTGGGCTGATGACATCTTGTAAAATACGTACATGTGGAATAGATATTCATATATGCATGCACACACATATATAATGGAAAAGATGTTTGATTACGCATCATTTTAATCAATACTCTTAAAAGGAATTCTTAACTGCCAGTATGGTAGCCACTAGCCACAGTGAGTTCTTGAAATGTGGTTGATTCACTGTGAAATACATACTGAATTTAATTTAAAAACACCGAGAGTAGCAAAGGGATACTATTAAAGAACAATTAATTAGTATATTGGTTATGTGATGAGGCCATACATTTTTGGATAGGATGGGTTCATTAAGATATATCATTAAATTTTATTCTAGGCTTATGTTTTATTTTTATTTTCTTTCAGCTTCTTGAAACATTTAAAGGGGCCCTGGTGGCACTGTAGGTTCGTCATTGGGCTACTAAGCACAAGGTTAGCAGTTTAAACCCACCACCTGCTACGTGGGAGAAAGCAGAGGTTGTCTGCTCCTGTCGCCTCTGACAACCCACGCGGCAGTTGTACTCGGTTGCATAGGGTAGCTATGAGGTGGAATCAACTCCAGGGTGAGAGAGGTTTGGCGTTGTCGGGTTCAGAAAACTTACACTGACATATGTGGATCATCATATCTATTCCTACAAAATAACGTTTGTACAATATTACCCCTTAAAGATCCAAAGCAATCTGGGTTGAAAAAGATCAGAGGTCCACCTAGAAGTAACTTTATTTTCCTCTTCAGCTCAGATCTATTTGTAATAACAAATAGTACTTAATATTTCTGCACATGCAATGACAACTACCACGAAAGGAAAGCATGCATCTGGGCACTAGAGAAACCAACCACCTGTATTGCAAAAGGGAATTATTAGCTTTCACCACCACCAAGACGGTGCCTCCATAAACAACCATTTGGAAATAGCATTCTAATGGAAGGTCTCACTCCCTGGGCGTCATCCCTTGGTCTCTTGACGTTTGGGGTGTATAGTAGAAGATGCAATGACTGGCAGACAGCAGGTCTACCTGGACAATTTGGGTCGACTCAATACAATTCAATTTGAACTTATCATTGGTCCTGATTTGGGAAGTGGATTTAATTACCCTTGATTTAGATTATCTGGACGTTTTACATAGGCTAATGGATCTTTACCCTGCTTCCTGACATGGCAGCAATATTTACTGTGGTGTGTTGTGCATCTTTATGGTGTCGATGGGAATAACCAAAGCAAAACAGACATAGGCCATTGACAAATTTAGAAGATGCCGATGGCCTGTCACTGCAAAAGCCACTTCAAATAGTAGTCAGCACGGAAAGGCACACTCCTTGAGCTGCAGCTCGGGTTTCATGCAGAATATCTGTTTGGGGTATCACCTTGGGTCATTGATATTGCTCATTAAAACCTAGGTGTCCTGTGGGTAGCAGAGCCCAAGTCAGCTTTCTGGTTATGAAAAGTCATGGGGCATTCCACGGAGGCCGGCCAACACTTCACTAAGGCGCCTACAGTGGAGGTGGTTTCTGTTTGTCCATTTTGTGTGATTTGAACCAACTAGAAACATAACCATCTCCTTTCTCTTTCTCTGATGGCCGTAAACATCTCCAGAAAACAGTTTATGTGGATAATGTTTTGGGAAATGGAAACCTGATAGTAGATACTCCTGTGTCATGCCAAGAGTTCTGTCAGGCAATGATTTGACATCTCTCAGGAGAATAAGGAGAGATCTCTTTCTTTGTAAAATACAATCAACAGATCTGTCATTGTTTTAGAAATTAATGATTATTTCGCTTGGTCTCAGGCATTTGGGGGCTTTCAATTTGGCGGCACATTGCTTTGCTAATATTCCGATGAAAGCTACAGAGCACTGTGCTGGGTTGACTGACAGTTTGGTGTCTGGGGTCGATCCTGACATCATACTCCCTTTGATCTTAAGCCAAGCATTTAATGGTTTTTAATTGCCTGGGTTTTTATCTTTAGAAATATGGGCCAGATGAAAAGCATGATTTAAATACCGAGGGCCGTATGAGAAGGTCGTTCCAAAGTCTCCCAGGCCATGTGCGTGGTACGGATGGCTCCCTCAGAGAGAAGCTGCTCTGCCAAGAGAGCTGAGGCACCCTGGTCTCTAGGACAAGCCGGCCCCGAGGGAGCTGATGACCCCTCCTCTTCCAGTCATGGTTCCCCCTAAGCCTTCTCACAGCCGTTTTTACTTCAGCCAATACATCTCTTAGCCCACCTTATTAATACTTCCTTCCATGCAGTCCCAAGACTGGTGGTATTAAAGGGATGGGCAAAGAAGAGGATAATAAGAACTGGGGCTTTTATATGACAATATATGTATATAGTGAATATATATATATACACGGTAGTATGTATACATATGATCAATCTTGTATGTGTGTGTATATATGTATGTACATGTGTGCATACACACATATTTACACTCATACAAGTGGCAGGTGACTGTTCTATCAACTGCCAGGCAAAGACAATGCTAGCCTCCAAATGGTTTATGTGCGCAGTGACCTCCTCATGCTCTCAGTGCTCGCATCTATGCATGTAAATCGCCGTTCACGCTGCCACTGGGTCCAATGACAGCAATGCAAACAAGCGGCTTGCATTAGTAATATCACACCAATATGATTTGAGACAGGTTACCTTTTTTGCTGCCTGTTCTTCTTCTACACCATCCCCAATTACAACATACACTACTTTTCTGCCAAACCTTTGCATTATTCGTTCAAAGCAACTTTCTTTTCCTGGAAGATAAATGAGATATAGTTCAGAGTGAAGTTACCTGGTTAGCGGCATGTTCCTCATCTCGGCCATCTCCAATCACAACATAAGTTATGTTAGTGCCAAATCTGGACACTATACGCTCAAAACAGCTTTCCTTGCCTGAAAAACAATGCACTGCTTATTCTTCCAGCCATTGCATTCAGTAACCTGAAGATTTATAAAGTGTTAGGTTAATTCCTCTTGAACATTGCGTGAACTAGCTTGCAACTTCTGGGTTTATGACATCAGTAGACATGGTTGAACAGCATTATCACTCAGGACTGATTATGAAGCAAATGTGTATTTCACTCCACACAAGTCAGCGGATGGGGCTAAGCAGCTGACTAACAGAAACATGTTAGAATGTTTACTCCACCAAAAGAAAATCGGAACAATTTTATGAGCGATTATACAGTTTCATAGAATTTGCTTGTTTAATGCTATGCCCCAATGTTACATCATTTCTTTTGAGAAGCATAAACAAGTCAGCTGAACAGAGGTTTGTAAAAAATGAAAATTCACCTATATAGAAAAATGAAACACTAAGAATGGAATTACCTTGACAAATCACTCCTTTTTTCAAGTGAGTAGCAACTAGTCTGCTCCTAGTTTGTGGTCTTAAGCAATGGTCCTCCGTGTGCTGTCTGATTGGGCCCCGATAACAGTATTATCCTCAGACGGCACTTTTGGAAGACCACTGGAATTTCTACATATTACTCATTTCAAAACATAGGAGTTTTCTGAAATCCATTCATGTAATCATTACTACTTTCACACTTTTCTTCCTTATGTTGATAGTAAATAATAAAAAATATATAGGAAGCTTGAAGGGAAAATAAAATGATTTTTACCTCAGATTATAAATAATGGACCATTTTGTCAAAGAATGTGTGTGTGTGTGGGGGGGGGGGTATCATCCATATTCAAAGAAATGCTTATGCCAGTGTAAAATCATCTGATTCAATCATTTAATTTGTCAAAAGGCAAATTTTCCAATATATAAATGCTGTTAGCCCCAATATATTTTTTTATTAAAAAAAAAAAAAAAAAAAGCACAGGCCTAGCAGCAAGGCTCCAAATTGTAGCGTATGTGACGATGTGGAATTTACTTGATGAATGTTTGAATCCCTTAGCTGGACTCCTAAAACAGCTGCAGCCAGGGGCTCCTTTGGCTAGTGCCAACATCAGACATTTGCGAGGCTGCGGGCAGGTCATTTTTGGTGGGGATTTTAAGATTTTGAACTGCTCTTGTCAAGGTGCCAGAGCCAAAGTGTGCTGACCTCCAGGGCACATGACACAGCTCGGCCATTTCCCTAGGCACGTCCTCGTCAGACAGTGGGGGGCAAGAGTTTTTCCAACTCGTTCAAGAGGGCCCACGCTGATGAGGTTTCCGTGAGAGAGTGATTAGCTCTCTGGGTCTGGAAATCCACTCACATCCAAGATGGCGACACTGATAAGCGTGCAAACCCCAGGGGGTTGCTCTGGGACTGCCATTGCCACCCAGTTTTAGAAATGTGAACATCCAGCCAGCATGTGATGTGAACATTCTAATGATGGTTTCCGAGGGGCAGTGGGAAAGAGGAGACTGTCGACAAGATGGATTAACACGGTGGCTGCAACAATTGGCACAAATGTAAGAACAATTGTGAGGATGGCCCCGGATCAAGTGGCATTTCATTCTGTTGAACGCCAGGTCTCTATGAGTCAGAATGGACTCATGGCGCTTCACAACAACTACATGTATATATGTGATTGTGTGTGTGTGTGTATTTTTTTTCTGGATAAAAGATGCGAGTTCAAGCTCCTGAGACTCTCCTGTAATGCCAAATAATATTTTTATCTTTTATCTAAGTGATTATATATCTAGGGATAAAAGTATATATGTGAAAATATTAAATATTGTGGCTAGAGATCCTATCTAGCATTAATAGTAGCATGCATCTTACTACTCTATGAAAGATGAAGCATGAGCCAGAACTATGCAAGTATTGAGGTGGCAATTTGGTTATTACCAAAAGTTGTCATAAAATGGACTACCATGGCGAGCTGTAGGCATCTTGGTTACTGAAGATCGCTCCCATCCTCAGATAGCAAACTGGATGAAAAAGAAGGCCATGCAGAGACACACGTTCAAAATATCCCCCGAGACACAGAGTTTAAAATAATAGTCTTACCTATTTTAGTTGCACTGTAAATATTCTCAATGGGGAAGGCACCTCCTAAACTGTACAGCAGAACCTTCGCGAGTGCTGGAATCAGTTGGGTCGTTGTTACCAAGACATTTACGCAGTTACTCCTAAACTCCGGAGGAGATATGCATACATACACATAAGTTGAGTTCTAGTAGATTAGATTAAACAGTGTCACTTTGCTCTCTTAATTGACAAGAAGACCCTTGAAAAGGTGACCTTTCACTACTGCTGTCAGCCCTGATGCTAGCTCTGGGCAGTCCTATGGACAGAGCACAACTGTAAACCCTTCAGGTTCCTGTCCAAGGGAAGTTGCAGGTCTTTCCTGACAGGAAGTCACTGAGGATTTCAAACCACTGATCTTTCAGGGTTTGGCGGTTACTTGTGGCCTGGAAAACTATTAAATCAAACTCACTATCCTTGAGTTGATACCAATTCATAGTGACCCTGTAGGACAGGGTAGAACTGCCACTGTGAGTTTCTCTTTATGGAAGTAGAAAGCCTCAGTTTGTCGCTGCAGAGCGGCTGGTGGCTTTGAACTGCCGACCTTGCACTTAGCAACCCGACTTGTAACCACTACATCATCAGGGGTCCTTACTTCCTAAAATGAGTCAGGGATACATTTTTTTTTTAAATAGAGAGAAAGTAGAAGAAAATGGGCAGTAAATGAGGTGGATGAATGAAGTTTTTGTTTTGTTTTGCCTTCTGTTTACCGTATTGACTCGTGTATAAGCCGAGTTTTTCAGCACAGTTTTAATGCAGCTTTTGTGGTAAAATTAGGTGCCACGGCTAATATTCAGGTCGGTTCATACTTGAGTATATATGGTAAGTTGTAAGGTTGCTAGAGTGAGAGACAGGTAAGTAGACAAACTGCAATATGGAAAGTGCCTATCATAAGGATTGCCTTAGGTCCCTACGGAGCCTCAGAGGAAGGTACCTCTCCAGACCACAGGCAATCATGGGAAGGCTGATTGGAAGAGCGGAAGGCTTAACTCTAACCTAATAAACCCTCAGATCAGGTACAATGCTCTGGTGATGGGACTCCCTGTTCCAGGGCTTACAGGGCCTGAGAGGTAGAAGACTTGGGCAGAAAGAAGGGGCTGAGTGATTTGTGGGGGCTTTTGTTGTATGTAAAGTCTCAGAGGCCTAATCCAGGGGCTGACATACAACGGTTCATGAGCCAGTAGAAAGAGAGAGCACGCTTATTTGTTACGGAACAAGATGAATTCTTGAAACTCAACAACCGACAGCACCACCCGTCAAAGGGCGATAAGTTTAACGATTCCAGTTTCAAACATCTCAAAGGCCTTACTCTGTGAGAGCAAGCATCTACTCTACTGTAACTTAGAGCTGTTTAGTTCATGTCAGAATACTGGGGTCAGGGCAAAGTGAACACCAAGAGATTGGGGGTTGTGACCACGTGATCCATTAAGAATGAAGTGTGGCCCTTTCTGGATTATGGGAAAACTGAGTGATTTGATATTGAGGGGTTCAAGCTACATACATGAATTTGGGGACCAGATGCACACAGCTATGGGGATTTTCTTTATGGTATATTTTGTATCCTTTAACATATATTTGTGAGAGCCTGTGAACATTCTCTATGATTCTGTCTATAATTCTCTAGCATGACAGCAGGAAATTGGCTGCTGGAAAACTGGACTGGAAGGTAACTTCCAGCAGTAAGGTGAATGCTACCTTCCCTATGCTTGCATCCAAATACACTTACAACGCTCTTCGTTTAAACACAACATTTATAAGGAAACAGACATACGAAGCATCCAAAATAATTACAAACTAGCCTCTGAAAACATCACTTCTAAATTTTCTGTTTACATGTCAGGCTCTCAGTAGGTGTTGAAACTCCTGGAAGCATGTGATGGGATGATCAGTTCATGGGATACGGAAGCACGGACTTCTGAAGGTAGACATGTCAGAAATATCACCAACAGTCTTTAAGACCTAGAGCGTGACTTGTTCATCATAGAAAGCGATTCCCAAATAAAGGGAAGAATGGCACAGAGACATCAACTATATTGTGACAAATGAATTTCCAAAAAATATTTTGTCAAAAGCTGTACAAATCTCCCAAGTCATATGGAGGTCAATGTTAGAGGAACATGTACAGGACAGTAAGACAGCACACAGGCTTCTTAAGCTTTGAGATTTGGTTTTGCAATCCAGTCTCATCATTTACACAGTGAGGTTTTCAGAGTTACATCATTTCATATTTTATTTTAAATGAAGCATGTAGTTATAATACATGGTTTATTTAACACAGACAATATAAACAGAAAAGAAAAACAATTATCTAGCCATCCAGAGATAATTGCCCTCTTTGCTTCGAAAATTATTTTCAAGGTTTATATGTGTGTGTGTGTGTGTGTGTGTGTTTAGAGGCACACAAACACTTATGTATGCACACACATTTTTCCCCATTGGGACAATTATATGTATACACACACAAATACACATTTCTCCGCGCCCCCCCCCCCAATTGCAACAATACTATATACAGCAGTTTTCTATTCCATTTATATCGTGAGGCTATTAATTCATATGAGATGGCTTCCTTCCACCTCTCTCAATAAAACATAGTATGTGTAAAGTACTTCATCATCTGGTTTTTACAAAAATTACAAAAATTTAAGTATGGATACTTAATGTTTTCAATTTTAAGTAGTCAGTTGTTTCAGTTTTATAAATAATTCTACGTTACATCTATACTTTCCCTTGACCTTTGATTATAATCTTAGACTATGTTATAAAAGAGACTGAAAGCATATAAACTTTCTCTGGGTTCTTAAACATAGTTCGGCAGTGTTTTCAATACGCCGCGGGTTATTCTGAATTTTCACGAAGGCTGTGAAACTACCAGCAAGGCATGCATGCAGCACAGCGCCGGCTCTGCGACAATGTGCGCTGACTTCTTTTTCCCCTTCCGTTCCTTGGGACACTTTCAGTTCTTTGCCAAAGTCACCTAACTTTATAAACGTTACACGAGGACCGAATAGGTGATAGCGCCCCCTGGGGGGCACTGGAATACTCCAGTGGGACTACACACACACTGATATCTGTACTTTATGCTGGATTCTGACTTACAGTACAAACGCTTTTAATTGGCAGGGAGTGATGAGCACTTTTTTTATTCCCTTAAAAGGGGGCAGGAGGATTAGTGAGTTTGGGAAGAGATGCATTAACGTTATCGCTTTCAATCGCCAATGCAATTATCATCTTTGGTTTTAAAAATTCAAGGGCACGTCTTTCCGAACCAATGGAAGTTGTGGACCTCCTCCTCAGAGGTACACCCATTCTGCTGCAATTGACTGGCAGCTTCAGGGGCTCAGGACCCCTCTCAGGTCCCAGGTGCCCTGCTCTTTGGTTACCATGCCATCAGCTAAAGAGGTCCCAAGAGTACGTTCTGTTTCCAAACAGCTTTAATTTGTTAGACGGGTTTTTACATGCAGCCCCAAATCTCTCTTCCAGGACTCCTACTCCTTGGCCCTAATTCTCCATGAGAGATGCTGACAAAACCAGCGCTGTGGCACTGTCAGCTCAGTGTTGGGCTGTTATCCGTACATACGGTTGGCAGTTCAAACTCACCCATCGCCCCTTGGGAGAAAGATGACGTTGTTTGCTCCTGTAAAGATGCCCAGCCTCTGGAGCCTTTTACCTGGGGGCTACAAGTTATAACGGACACCGTGCCATTTGATTTTTTGTAAACCATTTGAATACTTGAAATTGGTCATCTTGTTCCACATTTGAATTTTCTTCAGATTATAGTCCTTGGTCCCTCCCTCCAAATATTTCTTTAATATGGGTCCAACATTCTAAAAAAAAACCTCTCTGGTTACTCAGCTGGACACCAGATGCTACAAACTTGTCAATTCCCCTACGTGAATGTGGTGCCCAGAATTGAGCAAAGTACTTTGCTGGGGTCTTTCAAATCAGACTCAGGAAAGCTGCTGGCCCTCCATTGCTCTGCTGGACACACTGCTACCAGGGCGCCTACAGAGCTTACCGCGTGCTTCAGGAAGATTTGATAGGCATCATTTAATGTTGGGTTCTCAACAACGGACTCTTCTTTTACCCTGTGGAGGCCTGCCTGGATCCTGATTCTGTCTATCCAAATAGTATCTCTCACTTTGAATTATGTGTTATCCATGACTTTGCTAACCATGCTTTTATTTATTCATCTAACTCTTAAGTAAAACTATAGAATGAAAAATTCACTCTCATCGAGTCAATTCTGACTCACATGGACCCTACATAGCGCTTCCTGTAAATCTTCACGGGAGCACATAGTCTTATCTTTCTCATGCATAATACAAAGATTCATCTCTACCTCCACTTGCTTTCACTTTTCATACGTACTGATTTATAAATGAGCACTTATGGCACATAGTGGATAACCACTTAGAAATATACTTAATTCTAATCTTTTCACCATGGTCAGAATGCCACTGCTTTGTTCAAACTAACAATAGGATTCGAATCTTTGCAAGGGCTATCTTTTTCCTTTCGGGGCATTTAAATCACATGCATTTTCTATTGTCAACTACAAGACTTACAACCTGCATTTCTTGGTTTCTTTTTCCTGTAGACACACTATTGCTTTGTTTTTGTCCTCAGCACGTGAACGCTGCCAAAAGCAGAATGCGCTCTTTCCTGTTTCATCAGAAGTGACTGGACCTCTCCGTGGGGAGTTATCCGTGTTTATGGGGAGGTAAAGGAGGAGTGGTGATATGTCTTGATTTCTGCGAAGCAGAGACCCTCCCTCTAACACACACACACACACACACACACACACACACACACACATTGAAATTCATCACTGGGGTTAATGATTTGTTAGGTCTCTACAAACTCTAAAATGGCCTAGGGATAAAAACATTTATATATTGTACATAAACGAAGATTTCATCCTCAACACAATAGATAGAGAAAGTGCCACAACACTACTTACCTCGTACTGATAATCGATAAAGACTTAAGGGCATTTGTGAGCCAGGAGTCTGTGAGCCCTTCAATCTCTGCCCTTAACTGCAGCCATGCATCTCTCTTGGCCGGACCAAGGAGTCCTGCAACACCAACAAGCACAGCCGCGTTATGAGACCGGCATTGCCCCCGCTCTCCAGAAATACCTGAGCTGGCATCTCGTGTCTAGTCTAACTCACTCAAAGCTGCTGCTGCATCTATTTGGATTCAGTGACCTTTCCAGAGAGAGAACTGCCTCTTTGGGTTTCTAAGACTTATCTGTTGGAGTAGATCATTTCTTCTTTCTCCAGAGAAGCAGCTGGTGGGTTCAAACTACTGATCCCTCATGTCTAGCATGAGTATATTTGTTTTACAATGTGTATCTGAAACGGGGAGGCTGAGTTACACCCATTTCACCTCTATCTAGTCAAGTCCAACCCATAACCCTCCTGACAGAAGAGAATTGTCCCTGTCCGTTTCCAAGACTGTACATCTTTATGGGAGTAGAAAGCCTCATTTTTCTCCCATAGTTTATACCAGCATTTCAGAATAGATTCTCCATCCATTCATTACCAGATAATTATTGTGGAACATCTAGATGTGAAGTTCTGCGCTATTCACGGTGTAAAAGAAGTCTCTTCCCCAATGCAGGTATGCACCCGACAACAGTCAGCAGACATTTCTTTGGAAACTCTGGGTCTCACACCCAGAGGTGGATAAAACAGGCCTGGAGGACAACTGGGTGCTAAGAGACCTAGGGCATCAAGCCCTAAATAAATGTGGTTAATCGCGTTCATTTTCACGTGGAAGTAGTAATAACGGCATTGGTGTACAGGGTTGTTGGAAGTTTCTAATCCCAGCACACGAGCCTTCCCCAATCCATCTCATTTTGAGAACAAGCAGGTATGCACTGTGTTCGAGATCCTGCCGCCTATGGCACCGTTGCAGGCGGTTACGAGGAGACAAGAGGCTGGCATGCTCACTTTACTTTTAAAACAATCAAGATCCTGCTTTTACGGACAGACCAATAAACGAAAACCACACTCGTGCTGCTGAGTAGACTCTCCCTCGTGACCATCCCAAGTGTTACCAAGGAGCACTGCCCCACAGGATCATCTTACGGAAGCAGAGCCGGCCTTTCTTCCTACGCGCTAGGACGTGCCTCTGAGCTGTCAGCCTGGCAGTTAGTAGTTACACGCAAACAAGGAAAAAAAGCAACGACCAAGTGGGTTCTTAAATTGAAGCCATTTCAGGATACTGGGAGCACACCGAAAGATGGACAATTCCTTAAGGAAACTTGTACTTCCTACCAAGTTCATGTGCCCTCCTATCAACGAAGATGCTCACATATTAGAGAGACAAAGGATTCCCCTGTGGTGGTTTGATCTTTCAAGGATATATTATTTCATAGAAATGATATGAATTTAAAAATAATTTTAATAGTTCTCTGGAAGATGAAGATTGTTAGGCATCTGGATGACAAAAGTTAATTTATGTTTTCAAGGGAGGGGGATGTTTTTACTTTTAAGTACGTGGCTCATAACTGATTTCAAGCATTTATTGGATTTTACAGAAATGTCTTGACCAGAACCTTGGGATGGATTAAGAAACCAGAGGGGGTACCCCGAGGATCCCACCAAGGCAGGAGTTGGGAGGGGCCAGTTCTTACTTGCAAACAAATGTCTGCCACCAGATACTATCGGAGCGATCTTTTGAGCTGAGCATTTGTATTATCCGTGGTTCCATGTTTCTTAGACTCTCTTGGCTTGCATGCCTCAGTACTAGCACTGGGAGAGAAGAACAGAGGCATGGGCTACCTCTCAAGGTGTGTGTGCGCGCGTGTAGTAGATGTATACATGATAAATTTTATTGTACTGTAGTATTCTGTTGACTGATGCATGTTCTGGATATACTTATTTAACTCTACCATTCAGTTTGAGATTCTGATTGAAGTTCCACTATTATTCTCCATATTTTCTTTAAAAGAGAAACAAACCAACTTAAAGTCCCAAAAGCAGCATCTTATGGGGCTTTAACACTCATCTTGGGAACTTTGTGACCTAAAACTGACCCTAATAACAAAGATGGTAAGGTTTCCCCCAAGGAACCCATAAAGACCTCAGTTTTGACGTCACTATAACATGCACAGATAAGAAGAAGATAGCTAGATAGGACCTAGAAAGTATTTGAACTCCATATTATGACAAACACAGTGAACCCTATCCATAGGGCAGATGCACTACTGGCTAATATGCCACTGTAAAAAAGCGTACGTCTCTAAAGTGACATCATTCACACTTTTTATTTATTTCTGATGGGATTCCAAGGGATTGCTAACAAGCTCTGCTTCCTGAGGGTGGCGCCCCTCTGAGAGAGGCTGTCTCACCACTGAGGTGATCAGGTCACTGGTCTGATTGTCCAGGATAGCATTCCAAACCCAAGCGGAGGGAGGCCAACATTGGCCATACGTTCAGACGATGCCAAATTTCACAAATAACTGACAAGTAAATGACAGAGCTCCTGGTTTTACTTTTGTCAAGTCACTCAAAAAACAAAACAAAAAAAAAAAAAACCCACCCTCACCACCATCCAGTCGATGCTGACTCATAGTGACCTGAGTTTCTGAGACTGGAACCTTTTGCGGGAGGAGGAGTCCTATCTTTCTTCCCCATCAAGCCTAAGAAGCTTAACATGCCAGGCCTTGCAGTTCAGCATGCACTCTCCAGCCTGGTAGGACAGCCTACCCACGGTTTGAGTTCTACCTCAACAAGAGCTGGCAGCATCTTTAGGAGTGTTAAAAGCCACACATACCTCCGACATTGTTCTTGTAGGTGTTATATAATTCTTTCACTCTTCTGTAACGAAAAGCCAACTTCCTCATCCAGTCCACCCCTCCTCTTACACCTGTTGGCAAACAAAGGTTTGCACTACTTGCAGCTGCATGGAAGCCATCAGTTGCAAAGCTGTAGGTACTGCAACACCCAAAATACATTAAAAAGAGATAAAAGAAATAATTACATGTGCAAAACTCCATCGCCGAATTTCTGTAGGAAACAGCAGACTGAAAGGCCTGGCTTACCTTAAGTCCTGCCCATTATCATCGGAGGAAACATCATCTATATGAACTTGATCACACTCCTGTTAAAAATATGGGAAACGTTATGTGCCGTTCAAAGAATGCCTGTTGCCACCGTTCAAGCATTTCTCATCCATCCTTGACCAGGAGACGGCCAGGAGAGGGCATCATCTGGCCAGCCACCCCTCCATCTCCCTCTCAAGCGTCTTTCCCTGCTAGCTGGAAAACTGTACTTTTCTTCTGAGACGGAAATCCAGAAAAGACTCATAAAAAGGGTCCCCGAAAGCCTGTGTCATGGGGCTTTCTTGACAAGCTTAAATGTAGATTGAACTTTGAACTTATTGATAAGAAATTCTCTTCAATCTCCCAATCAGTGGTCTATTCTTTTAAGCACTGCTCTTGCGCGTACTTTGCTGAGGAAGTAAAAGGAACCGAGGAAAGAAATGCTTGCGGTCTGAAGGCCTCAAGCAGCTATTGACTCTCGCTTCTTCTTTGTTGACAGCAACAGCAGGCGGGGCTTGTCGGATTATGATGTCCTGGGAGATTTGCATGATTGCCTGCTCTTGGTTGGGCCAGCATTGTCTGAAAGAACCATGCTGGGGTTATTCTAGAAGTTGTGGTCTTCCACCAGAAGGTGAACATGAAAATGGTAATCGCATCATCAGAGGCTTACTTCCTGTCCTTTTTTTTTAATGGGGGTTCATTTTGGTCTGTTTTTTAAACTCAAGAGAATAGTTACAGGTTAAAGGGAAATAATGAAGTTTTTCCCTCTCAGAAGAAAATGATCTTCAAGTGACCTGATTTTAAACTATAGTTTCTAAATCCAAATGATAACTTTTCAGTATATATTATATTCTTCTTTTTGTGTTGCTGCTCTTATTATTTTCAAATAAACAGTGAAGTTCCAGAAAAATATTACATGTTCTGGATGAGGCATTTAGATTAGGGCCTTTAAAACAAGTTGTTCTTATTTTAACCTCAGAATAGGTAATTGTCCAACAATTTGGGTCTCTTTTTCCCTGTCTGAAATTATCTAATCTTATTCACATATTTTTGGAAGACATACAACCAGAATGCTCCTTAAAAGCAAGGATGGTGAGGCTTCCTCTCACGAACTTTGGACATATCAGGAAAGACCAGTCCCTGGAGAAGGACATCAGGCTTGGTAAGGTAGGACAGTGGAAAGAGGAAGCCCCTTGAAAGGGTGGATTGACACCGTGGTGGCAACAGGCAGGCTCAAACCTAAAACAATGGTGGGGACAGTACGGGAGAGGGTGGGGTGTCCTTCTGTTGTCAGAGGGTCGCTTTGAGTAGGAGCTGACTTGTCAGCACCTTACAACATCCACATATTCAGACACTCGTAGTAGTTACCGATCAAAATCAATTTATAAATCATTACATGTATATATAGAAAAAAAACTGCCTGCCTCTAAGGCAATTCTAACTCATAGCGAGCCTAGATGACAGGACAGATCTGCCCCTGTAGATTTCTTTCTAATCCGCTAACTCTTTATGGGAGTGGAAAGCTTTATCTTTCTCCCTCAGAGCAGCTGGTGGTTTTGAACTGCTGACCTGGCAGTTTGCAGTCCAGCATGTAACCACTATGCTACCAGGGCTCCTTATAAATAGACTACCATGCTAAAAGACAGACTTTTCACCTACTATTTATCTTCATTACAGGACTTAGAAATCTCTGGCAAATATTTACTACCTGGTCGCCAACCTTCCACACATAGTGTCTTAGATTCTCCTCTAGTTTAAGGATGAGCTAGTTGGTTCAAGGTTCTTTCAAACAGAAAACTCAATGGAAGCTCCCCAAGGGTGATGTTTGGTTCATCAGAAAATAGCCACACTTACAGTACAACCTGGCTTAGAGGAATCTTTCAACAATCACTTGTGGGATGAATGGCAAAAGTCTATGCAAGTGATCATTACTGACAGTATCACCCATTCGTATACTCTTCTCCCATAGTGTTATTTGCATATTCAATCGCGGTATCCTAGATAGTGAGAATGTGTAAAAAGATGTGTATGTCAAGAGTGGGGAGGTATATCAAGGGAATACCACTGATGGACGTGGTAACTCAAGGTTACTTGTATGTTTATCCTATTTTACAGAGAAATTCTTCTGATATTTCTTGTCATAACGCACATGATTAATGTGTACATAGTTCGCCCCACAAATGTGTGTGCTACCCTGAGGACAACAGTACATCGAGCTTATTGGACCATGAGCTCCGTATTTGAAATTGTGTTTGAGGTTTTTCCAGCTTTCTAACTCCTCTCTGCATCTATGCCTAGTTAACTCTGATTGTTTACTCTGGATGATTGCCTGCGGTTTATAGTCCAGTAAAAGCAACCTGAACTTCTGTCATTTGAATTTTTAGAAAAACCTGAATAAGTTTTCCTTCATTTGTTTTCACACTAAAAAACTTTGCAAGAGTCGTTCTAACTAAAATCTGAAGGACTGAAAATCACTGCAATGTTTGGGCATTATTATTAGTAGTAGTAGTAGTCATCGAAGACCTCCGAGATAATTCAACTACCTAATGGTTAATTCTTTGACTTTATCCTTTTGGCATATAAGGTGAGCACAAATTTACCCCTGATCTGTATCACTTATAATTCACAGCAGCCTTTGCTCACCTGGATGCTCCCGTGCTCCCTGGCGCCTTCTCTGCTGGAAGTTATTCTGACTGCACTAACACATTTCATTTAGACAGAATGCCCTTGGCTTAGGGGGACTGGTATGTGCATTTGGCTTCTCTGCACTTGGGCAGGAAGTAGTGAAGTAAGTGTCTATTAGGAGGGTTTAAATCTGTATCATTTAAGGAATTATGTGAGAAGCAGCTGTTACTACATATGCTGCAGTATCGATGGAAGGATTTAAGTCTTCAATTAGATTTTAGTCTGGAAAAAAATAAAGGAGTCCAAAGATTTAATATATTAGAGGAAAAAAACTGGAGCTACTCTGATAAGGAATTGTCCTGTTGTCAGTAGAAACACAAATAGATTTCCTTCTAGTCTGGGGGCCCAGCCCAGGACAGCGCTGGCCTGCCAAAGATTTATGCAAAGGGAAATTGTGTGAAAACAAAATAACTCTCACATTCAGATGTGGAAGGTTGTCTATGTAACTGGACTAAGAGATGTTGATCACTATTATTCCAACTTTATTAATTTTAGTGCTTATTTATCCCCCTGAAGGTAATAATAAACTTCTGAGTTTCCTTGGGAATTTTAACTCTGTTCATGTGCACTGATGTTTACTGAGAGTTCATTTAATGTAAACTCAGAGTCGATTACTTCATTGATTCAACTCAACAATGTTGGATAGCTGCATTTCACAGTTTGAATCCAATGGAATTCTTACTGTATTTTAAAATACAGCAAAAAAAAAAAAAGAGGATATAATTAGAGGGGGAAAAGGCTACCGAGATTTTCTGTCACTCTATCTACCAGAGAGCCTGTCAGATATTCCATAAAGATACATTCAATATAATATCTAGTCCCAAACTAAGAGTCCTAAAGCACCATAGCTGATCATAACATGATATACCAGTATTAATTTCAAATACACACACACATATATAATATATATACACATTGATTATATGAAATTTTCACCTTCTCATTTCACTTGTCTTTTAATCATCAAGTGTTAAATTTACTCCATCTGGCTTCAAATGCGTCACCAAAAATAACTATGGGGTCACTTGTTACATTTATTTCTACTAAAAAATAACTAATGAAGTGAGAATTAAAAAATCTAGAGAGAAAAAAAAGTCATTGTTTTCTTTGCATGCCTTTGAAAATGCTAATAATCCTAGAATCCTCTTTAGAATGAGAACAACACACTTCATGGGCAAAAAAGCAAACATAAAAAAAACTATCTTCTATATGAGAAAATTCAAGGTCCAAACATGGTTATAATTTGTTTCCCGTCATCATGTATGTAAAAATCATTCTTCGTGCCAGAACCTAAGGAGTAGGATTATTTTAAATTGGGTTTAGAGAGGTGATTATTATTTTACATATCTAAAACTAAAAAACTTGTCTAAGAAGACTGATGTCTCAAATTGTTCATTAAAGAAAAAAGACCCTTTGAACCAGACATTAATTTTATTACCCAGTAAAACCAAGGACACACTGAGGAGAAAACATCCAACAATGCTTGTACACAGCTGATTTCCACACACATCTTCATGGATTCCTGAGCCATCCTTTTCAGCTGTGCGCATCGCACATGGAACTAAAACTAGGCGTAAGACCTTGTCAATTTTAAAGCCTATTTAACATCATCGCTCACTAAGTTGGTATGTTTTTCTCTCATGAACTTTTCGTTTCAGCATAATGTAAGGGCAGCAGCATGTGTGGGCCCACATAGGCCTGGGTTAAAATCCAAGTACAGCATGAGTTAAATGGTAGCCTGGGGCATGATTCCTATACTTGGGACCCTACTGGCTCCCTCTGGCAAAATCAATATAATATGTATTCTCACTTCGAATGGTTATAAATTAATTAGTGGAAAATTCCACATAAAATCTGTCACACAAGTTAGAGTCTTGGTAATAAGAATCTCCCTCGCTCTTCATAATATATGTGTTTATTTCAGTGGAAAAGTATGAGATAAAAATTATATGCCATTTAAAAAAGAAAATTAAGGGTTTTTTCTGGCATAGGTAGGCTCAATCAAGCAATACTTCTTCCCAATGTTCCAACTACCTAATTACTTAAATTCTATCTTCTAAATGCCTAATATCTCAGGCCATTAGTATGTGTATTATATGAGATCTGCAGAACCTGCTCAGTTATTCTGAGGCTATTTCTCTAAGATGATTTTATTTGGATTTCCTATCCTCATGATTATCTCTTAGACATTAGGGTTTGGAAATGGAAAACTAAATGAGTAAAAAAGAAACCAGTCAAAGGATGTATGAGCTGTGTATCAGGTCTAGCATGGTGTCCCCCAGAGGGGATGCATACAGGAATGATAATGTAGACTACCATTAGGCTTCAGTTTAGCTACACATTTCATTGATTCATCCTATCGCTATGAATAGCATCTGTGCATAATTTTCTAACATTTAACTTAATAGTATTCCACTTACTAACATTGATTCTGAAGGTGCACATTGTGTTGAGATTAACATACTAACCATACCGGGGGGTAGTATACATATATAAATGTATATATGTAACAGGACAGCAAAGCAGACCTGCTCTTATGATATAAGAGATTTACAGATGCCCTTTTGTTTTTATTCTAAATATTTTACTTGTATATTTCTCATTAACACAACGAAGCTATCTGCTTATCTTTTTGCATATTCTTCTTTCCTTTGAAAGGAACTTTATAGCTCTCTTGAATGATATTTCTTCTCTTTTCTTGAGGTGATCGGCACCGATAGAAACCACTGAGCACTTTTAGGTGCTGGATACAACTATTCTCCCCTCTTTAAGCGCTTACCTCTAAGTCATTGAAAAATAAATGTGTATCAGCAAGACTGAAAATCATTTCCTCCATTCGGAGTCCGAGGGTTACAGCCATTGGGGGATCCTGAAAAGAAAATGCATACCTAATGAGGATCTCAGGAGACACGGTTATTGTTCACGCATTTTAAGTGCATGCTGATGTGTGGTGTGAGGGAAAACCTATTTGAAATTTTAACTGAGATCCAAAAGACAGGTCAATTTTCTGAAAAAGGATCATTTCTAAAGAGATTTGAGACATACCAAATGCATAACGAAATCCCTGAATTTACAGCAATTTATACACATGTGAAGACGTTTTCTCATAAAATCGTGTGTTCATGACAGAAAGAGAAAGCAAGCATGCCAGAGCATATGACTCAGTTTACATTACTCCGTGGAAACCCCTGGGAGAAAGGTGTTGAAGTAGGGTACTGACAAGTGAAGCAGGCTTTCAGAACAAGAAAAGGATGTCATTTTCACAATGAGGACATGTAATCACGGGCAGGAAGTAGGCCAATCACTTGTAAAGAAGGTTACGTGGAGGTGGGATATTAAGAGAAGGCAGAGAATGAAATCACCAAGTCATTCTTAATGAATTTCCATCAAGAGGATAATGGGCAATTCCTTCTGATTATGTGTATAGTCTGTTCTAACCTACATTTAATTAAAATTCAATAAGGAAGAATGGAGGGAAATGAAAAGAATAGTAATTCAATAAATGTGCATTAGGAAGAATCGGCGTATTTAAATTATGGTGATGTTGAAGACTATCGAACAGACTGTGGGCCCTGCACTGAACGAACCCATCTCTCGTGGGTGAAGTAAAGCCCGAGCGCTTCTTGGATGTGAGGATGGGGAGACTGTCTCCAGGCTTTGAATACGTTTTCAGGAGGGCACACCCTTGGAGAAGGGCAGCCTTCTCGGTAAAGGAGAGGGTCAGGAAAAAGAAGACCCTCAATAAAGTGAAGCGATACACATGCTGCCACCATGAGCCAAACACAAGGCTGCTCAGGAAAATGGCATGGGGCAGGCTTCCGTCGGCTGGGCATAAGGGTGCAGGGGCAAGAACCAACTCCACAGCCCAGAATAGCAGCAGTGCAAGCAAAGGGAGTAAGAGTCGAAATGACTCCACTTTTGTTTATACAAACAAGACATTAGCCGAACAAGGAGTTGAGAATCAAGACTAGATCTCTTCCTTTACCAGGTTAACTGCACTTGAATGTATGGGAATCAAGAGATAAAGCGCTAAAAGTCCAAAAAGCATTTTGCACTAAAAATTGAGAAATCATTAATAGCAACACTTCCTGAAATCATAAATGCTGGCCTGATCCCTGCAGGAAAGTCCCTATAGGTGTGAGCCTGGAGGTGGAAGGAACACAGCAAACTGAAGGAGACAAATCCGGAGCATTTGAGGCTGGAATGGGTATTAGATGGAGAAGAATGTGGTTTTGAATATAGCTGACAAGTCTAGAAGGATACTATTGGTTTTGGCTGAGAAGCTGTTTTGGAAGACCTTAGAGGGTGATTTGGGTTGAGTGGCTGGGCCAGGAGCCAGACTGTAGAGATTTGAGAAGAGGAAAATGAAATTGTGTTTTCAGTAATATAGAAAAGAAATTGGAAAATCATAATGTCAGCTATATTACAAGTAATGATAAGAACATGCAACCTGGGTCATGTTCCAAGGTCTTCATCTACACACCTGAACTTATTCCATTTGCAAATAAAAACCCCTCTTCATTCCAGAGCTACATTGGCAAAACGAACTTTCTTTGTGTCCTTCCTACTAGAGTGCTTCACGAAAGACCTCCGAGAGTGTAAGTCACATATACTGTAACCTTTAAAATATACAGAAGATGGAATGAGTGCTAAGGAAAATCAATGTTACTGGGGTTTACTAATAAAGCATCAATATTGATGTGGAAAGATGTGTATGACAATAGCGATACGATATGTTAGAGAAAAGTTACATACTGTATGTCAACAGAGAGTCCTGGCGGAGTTCTGGTTGCACACTGGGCTGAGAGCTGCATGGTTGGCAGTTCAAAACCAATAGCATGCTATTCCTCAGGAGAAAGACTTGGCCTTCTACTCCTGTAAACAGTTACAGTCTCGCAAACCCATAGGGGATCACGATCGAGTCAGTATTGACTCGATGGCAGTGAGTGGGGTTTGTTTGCTTTTGGTATGCCAACCACATTCTCTAACTGTATTTCTTCACTTGGGAATTCTGTGGATTTCATGGCTGGAGAGTTTCACTTTTCAAAAATGGATATTTATATCCCCATAGCGGCACCCCCAGGACTGTATCCTCTAGCCAGCATTATTTTACTGTTAAGATTCATCAGTCTCCCTGTGGCAAGTCCAGTTGGGGATACAGATCCAGAACCAAAACCTACCTCAACGACAAGTCAATTCTGACTCATAGCCAAAGGTCAACTAGATTCCGTTTCATCCACATGCATCTCTTCAAGGACACGAAGGTATTTGAGTCTATCTGGTGTCACACGGAATTCTGAACCTTGTAGACTTCCTTGCTCTTTTTCTTTCAAGTATGAAACTGATCTCTCTTCTCTCCCTCTCTCTCTTTAAAGAACATACCTTTGCCTCTTTTGTTAAAAATCTCTATTTTGAGTCTCTTGGGGCGGGGGAGGTGTATAGACAGAGGACGTGGAAAACTTGTAAATATTCTGTCTAGTCATGGAACCGTGAACAAAAAGTCTACAGAAATATCAGGGAAAATCAAATGTAATTATAGCATGAAAACACATAATTCCATTAGGGACGCTCTATGCTTTTGAGGAATGTTCACGGGTGCAGGGTATTAACACTGAGCTCCACGCTACTCCATTGTGTTACTGATGGATGGATCCTGCCCTGAAGATACATGTTTCAGACGCGGGTTCAGATATCGCTTCTTGAAAAGGTTTACATATTGACGACGCGCTCTTCTCCGACGACTATCCAATTTTTAAGTTTTAAATAAAAGTACTGAATTTCTTATTTTCATCTTTCATCTTCTTTGCCAGAAGAGATTCATGGGGGTGGGAGGAAGGAGGCTGTTCACCTATTGTCTCTTTCACCAAGTCCGCACTTCTGAGGTCCGTAACCCTCCACGCCACCCACCCAGTGATAGGAAAATCCATGAAGAAAGCATTTTGTGCATCTGATAAGCATGCACACAGGTAGACATCTGATAGGCATGCAAACAGGTAAACAAACAACACGAGAATTCTCTAAGGAGCATGCAGGATGGAAACTCGGTTCGAGCACTTCCCTGGAACGTAACCCGTGGCACTGGGAGGGCTATTTGTTTGCTTGTCCCGCTGTGGCGATTCCACATCACACACTCTCATGAGAGCCAGGGCTTAGGAAGTATTTTGGCAAAATATCGTTAGTTAACTGGGAAAGTTTAGGTTGGAGGTTTGCTGGAGTGTGAACTAGCTGCCTTTTATTAAGGTTTGGAGGGAGCAGAGCCTGTTGAAAGGGGAGCCTTTTGTTGGCCCTGCCGGAGGCTTGGCACAGATGGGCAGGGCTTGGTTGTGTCACGGGCCAAGGAAAATCAGGCTTGTAAGAGGTGGTGAGCTAATTTTTTAAGAGAACGTCTGGTGAGGGCGGATTTTCGAGTATCTATTTTTTACTTCTTTGGTCCATCTTACTAAATCATTGGGACAGGCAATCCTTAAGTAACCGGCTTACAGTATTCAGCTTTTCCAACTAAACAACTGGAAGGCTCCAAGAAAGATGACCTGGAGTCCCAAAGGCTCCAAGGTCAGCCCCAAGGACTCCATGTGAGACGACAGGCCCTTGTCCCTCTGCGGGCGGAGCCTCCGCAGCAGCTCTGTGCGCCAGACTCCGGCGCAGGAGCCGCAGCGCCTGCCATTTGCGTTTTATCAGGCATTTGAGAGCGAAACAAACTCTGGACTGTGTCCAAATTTTATACAGACATGTTTGCTCGTTTTCATTAGATATTTGTAAAAACATGCGCCACCTTATGAATCAAGAGTTACTGCCTCATTTCAATTTTACTGTTCTGAGTGTTGAGTTTAGGGTCTACAATGAAGTGATGGGGAAAATGGGTACCGAATGGAAAACATGGGATGAAAAAGGCATTAAAAAGTCTTTGTGGAAGCTGTGATACACATTATATGTAGACAATGGTCCAAGAGGTTCAGTGTCTACAACAACAATGAACAGTGCTCCTAAAAATACCGAATACATGTTGTTCACCACCGAGAGACTGAGAGGAGGAAGATGAAGATAATGAACACAGGCCATGGCGCTTAAATGTTTGGTTCAAAGCCAGCTATCCCCAGTCTACAGCCAAGTTCGAATCAAGTATGCACTTTTCTAGATCAAGATCATAACACTGATTCGCTGGGGGAGCACCCACAGAGCACGCATCGGAGCCAGACTGTCTGTCTGCGAGCCCCTGCCCTGCACTAAGCCATCAGCTGGTATTCTTCCTCCAGGGACACAATGTAAAAATATCTTGGGAGAGGCAGCAGTTATATATCTTTAAAGAAATGGAGGATTTTTTTTTTAAGAACACACAGTGCTCAAACTCTTGGAAGACTTTTTTCCTGTGGGATCTGAAGCACGTTTGTAGACTTGGGCGCACAGAGACAGGAGACTGCTGCAGTCTCAAGACAGAAGAAGAAAGAAGCCAAGCTCGCTCCACGGCCCATCGTGGGGGAGCTACTGGGTCTTTCAGAATGGAGGAATGCGTCCTATTCGGTGGCAGACGAGAGAAAATCCAGTCATGAGTCGAAAGAGAAATTTTACAATTGATGAAGTTTGCCTACAGTGAATAACATGGTGGGCCTAAGCATTCTCTATGGGAAATAGAGACTGGTTTCAGGAGCAGTCATGTATTTCACACAGAATGACTTAAGTGTCTACTATGTGCTAGATGGGCTCCAATTCTGGTACAGAGCCAGAGAAGGGAAAATCCATGCCTGTAAGGATTTTGTAGTATGGATAACATCGCAATACCTTATATTACTGGTGGAGGGGATCTCTGATGAATGAACAGCCTCTGGTTCGCAAGTAAATATACAGCATTTCAGTTGGTGACAAAGGCTATGA